GAAGCCAGGCCTTCAATTATACCCAACACTCCCCTTCCCTACCCCCCACCCTACCCCTTTCTTCCCCCTTCTCCCATACCACCTGCAATATGGACCTTCAAAAATTATGAAAACTACTATAGATTATTAATTTCAAATTATCATTTGATTGGGCTATTATACAGGCATGTCAGAATTATGCGCGAAAAAAATCAAAATTTTTTCCCCATATTATGCGGAGAAAAGGGTGAATTATGCGGAAAATTATGCGGGATGACGTCATCACAGGAACGTAAACTTTGGGAAATTTTACATATATTTAGGTTATTGTGTTTGTTTTTCATCCAAAACTCCGTTTTTATCTTAGTTACGAAGTACAGAAGGCAGTACCAACAGAAGGAAAGATCTTTTTAGACTTTTTCGTTCTCRCACGCTTTACATCTCACTTGTATCATACGCCATATTGGAATTTGTCACKTGATCTAGTAAGGCACAGGGTGACCAGTAATGCTAGTGCCCAGACTCTTTTCTGATGAAATTTTGAACGCCTGGTACATTTGTGAAGCCCACGAAAACAAAACTATATTCGGAAAATTATAAGCATGTTTGGGAGCGCTTTTTGATCAAAAAACAGTCAATGGACCACAAAAAACATTAGTAGAAGGCAAGTCATCTTAAAAAATGGTATAACATAGGAAAAAAAAACACGAATTATGTGGGATTATGCGCGATTTGGTAAATTATGTGGAAAGGGGGCAATTATGCACGGCCGCATCCGCGCATAATTCCGACATGCCTGATTATATATGTATTCAATATTCTTATTATGGGTAAAGAGATTTAAAAAATTTCAAGTGTAGGAGACATAGGAATTCTTTTTGCCTTTCTGAACTAAATAAATGAAAGAAAATTTTGTAGTATAAAATTCTGTTAATTCAAAGAGACATCTTTGGAAAGCTCTGACCAAATAAATACACTTATACAGTAGCAAGGCCTCAATTATGACAATCACTTATTTAAGGTGGATCACAACTAATGAAACGCTTCGCAAAAGTATTTAGTAAAACGTGCTARAATTTTGATATAACATGCAGTAATTATTGCAGTTTTTGACAGTTTTCAGTA